GCTGTGGTGGAGACAGAAACGGCAGGCGCAATCGTGACTACGGATGAACGGCCTGCGAAAAGAGCGAGGTTGGAGGGGGTGATTTGTGACGCTCAGACTCAAGCATTCGGTGTTGCGATGCAAATGGTGCCGGACTTTGTCATGCAGATCACTGCCGCTGGAACCAATGGCCAACACACATTACGCACGAACCCTGCTGGAAACAGTATAACGAAAGATGCACAACACGCTGGCTCACAAGTATCCGCTTCGATGTCCAGGAACGAGCCCCAAAATTGTATGGAGCCTGAGAGTGCCATGCAGCCTGAGGGTGGAGTTGCAGATGTAATGTCCATGGACGAGGCAGACTTGCTTGTGGAGGAAAGCTTTGCACTTGCCGCCACATCTGTAGGTGGATTACAGAAGAAGGCTAGCAAGCTCAATCTTGTTCGCAAAAAGCTTGTACGGCCTGCGCAGGAGGTAGTGGTGAGCGCGACAGAGACTGCTGACAAGACGGAGAGGGTCGGTCATACCAGCTCGTCAACGAGGGCTCAGGCATCCGTTTCCGCGAAGGATACGAGTGTCTCCAATGACAATGCCTTGGACGGTCCACCGCCAACGACGGCGGCCATAACCGCAGATACAGGCGTCTTACCAGAGGTACCGGAGTCACCTGCTGCAGTAAGAAACATCTCGAGCGAGCATGAGCAAGCAGCTTATCAATCCGAGACCTTAATGTCGTCAGCATTGGACCGACATATCGATGGAGCGCAGGATTCGACAGTTTTCGCTTACCGTGCTTCTGCTTCGCGGAGCCCCGGAGTCGCACAGCCAGCACGCAAGGCGCCGAACGTGGACCCATCACTGCCTACTGCAAAGCGTACCAAGTCAGTGAAAACTATCGTTTCCTGTAGCGTTTGCAAGAAACGTACTTTTGGGCTCAAAGCCATCGGACATGCGCTTTGCAGTGAATGTAAAGCAAAGAAATCGGCGATCCAGGACCATAAGACCCGAGACGATGCAACGCCTGCTGTGAAGTCAGTGGAGGAAAGCCGTGGGTCAAGTGTGCGGGCTTTCGCGCCAGAAGTGGCTTTATCCTCAAGATCACCTGTTGAAGAGCAGCCTGCCCTGGATGTTACTTCCTCAATGAAGGTCGTTGAGAAGTCATTTCAGAGCGGGCACGTGGAAGCAGAGCTGTCGCCGCCTACAGACAAGAACAAGGGTGATAGACTGGACTTTTGGACATCAACGACCAGCGGGAATGGGCCAAAAACATCCGAGCATGTGACGGGCCATCCACAACAGGAAATCGCGATTGCTCAAGAAGGGCGTCAGCCTGCATCAGCATCAACAAAGGACGCTGTCTCTTTCCAGGCACGAATCGACTCACACCCGCAAACAACGCCGCTGGAAGAGACAGCCGGGC